ATGGGGGGCCAGGGGGGCTGGGGTGGCCGTGGGGGCCCTGGCAGTGGATTAAATATAGAGTGATTTCTCAGTGCAGAATTAAATAGAGAAATGGCTTTGAAGCGCGTCAGTGCTTTTTCCCCAAAACAAGGAGTGTTTTTCAGGAAACACCATTTAAGTAACAGAAAGAACCTGAACGAATGGGCCTGTTTCATCTTTGTAGGAAGCAAGGTGCCCAACACAGAGCGGACCTTCGCCCCAGGAGAGCCTGCGCGGCCTCGGGTGCGGGCTGAGGACGGGGTGAGGCACCCGTGTCACCGGTGCCGGGCTCTGTCCTTGCTCTCCTGGGTGGCAGCTGACAGGGTTTGTCCCTGACCCAGGTTAGATGGGTTTTGGCACCTTCTCCAAACCAGACAGTTAGAAGGAAGGAAGGAAGGAGGGGGGAGGGAAGCTGCATGAAAACCAAACAAAAACCTTGCACGGTTAGTTCCCAATGACAAGGTGCGATTGTGTTCCATTTGGGTTCAACTAGTAAAACCTTTAGCATTTAGTGTAGATGTTAAGCACCAAGAACCATTAAATGATACAATACACATTATATCATTTACTCAAGTATGATCAGTGGTCCTTACCCTAAAATATTAGCGTTCATGCGTCTTTAAATTATTTTTTTAAATTTTTTATTGATTATGCTGTTACAGTTGTTCTATTCCCCCCTTCATTCCCCTCCACCCTACCCCCCCTCCCCACCATCACCCCCCCCTTTAGTTTATGACCATGTGTCTCAAGTTCTTTAGATTCTATATTTCCCATGCTATTCTTGCTCCCCCATCTATTTTCTATCTACTGTCTATGCTACTTATTTTCTGTACCTTCCCCTTCTCCTCCCTCCACTCCCCTGTTGCTAACCCTCCTTGAGATCTTCATTTCTATGTTTCCACTCCTGATCTACCTGCCCTTTTAGTTTGCTTTTGTTTTAGGTGTGGTTGTTAATAACTGTGAGTTTGTTGTCTTTTCACTATTCATGTTTCTTTAACTTCTTTTTCTTCAATAAGTCCCATTAACATTTCATATAATAAGGGCTTGGTGATGATGAACTCCTTGAATTTGATCTTGTCTGAGAAGCACTTTATCTGTCCTTCCATTCTAAATGAAAGTTTTGCTGGATAGAGCAATCATGGTTGTAGGTCTTTGGATTTCATGATTTGGAATACCTCTTTCCAGCCCCTTCTTGCCTGTAAGGTCTCTTTTGAGAAATCTGCTGACAGTCTGATGGGGACTCCTTTGTAGGTGACTGTCCCCTTAGCTCTTGCTGCTTCTAGGATTCTCTCCTTCATTTTAATTTTGGCTAATGTAATGATGATGTGCCTTGGTGTGTTCCTTCTTGGGTCCAACTTTTTTGGTACTCTCTGAGCTTCCTGGATTTCTTGGAAGTCTATTTCCTTTGCCAGATTGGGGAAATTCTCCTTTATTATTTGTTCAAATAAGTTTTCCACTGGTGGCTGTTCCTTTCCCCCTTCTGGTACCCCTATAATTCGGATGTTGGAGCGTTTAAAGATGTCCTGGAGGTTCCTAAGCCTCTCCTCATTTTTTCGAATTCTTGCTTCTTCACTCTTTTCTGTTTGGCCATTATTTGCTTTCTTCTGGTCCACTCCATTGATTTGAGTCCCAGTTTCCTTTTCATCGCTATTGGTTTCCTGTGCAATTCCATGCATTTCAATTAGTTTCGCCTTCATATGTTTGTCTAATTTGTGGCTATAATCAACCAGTTCTGTGAGGATCCTGATGACCAGTGTTTTAAACTGTGCGTCTGAGAGTTTTGCTATTTCTTCATCACTTAGATTTATAGGCTCTGGGGCTTTGAGATCTTCTTGAGTCATTTTTGGTCTGTCTGCGCCCTTTAAGTGTGAGGAGCGGAGTCTTGGACTCCCAGGCCACTGGGTTGTGAGGCTGTATATGGGGGTGTGGTCAGAGCGGGGAAATGGCGACCCCCTCTGCCGCTTCTCACAGCTGGGTGAGGAGCAGCGCCTTAGGTGGTTCACCAGGGCTAGGCCACTCAGGGTCACTGGGTTATGACGCTGTATGTGGAGGTGGGGTCAGAGCAGGAAATGGCAGCGCCCTCCCTGCCGCTTGCTGTGGGGACCCGCTGGGTTCCGGTCCAATGGCCCACTCCCTGGCTTGTCTATCTGCGCACAAATGCACGACCACAGTCAACCCGCAGCCCTGCTCCCTCGCTGTTTCCCCCGTGGTCGCTCACTAGGTCCAACCCTGTGCCTGGATTCCGTGCGCCTGAGTCTGTCCGACCGAGTTTTCCTGTGCAACCCCACTCCACCAGCTGCTGGTTTCGCCCCTTACCAGTCAGGCTGAAGAATTTGTTGTTAACAGACTTCCGAAAAGATCAATTTTCTGTGTTCTGGCTGTGTTTTCTGTTGCTAATATTTAGTTGTCTCTAAACTTGGTTGTGTGAGAAGGTGCGGCACATCCACCTATGCCCCCATCTTGGCGGAAGTCCTAAATTATTTTTAATTAGATTTTTGGTAAGACATATGAAGACACCCCACAGGGCAGGTACAGCTTCTGACAAAAGAGCTTCTCTGGGGTACGATCAGTGTGGTCCTGATGTGTATTAATATGCTCGTGGGAAAAGTTGTGTTTTGACAGCTAGAGCAGCGTGTGTGATTTAGACTCGCAGAGTTTAGACAAGGGGTCGTCATCCCATGGCCCACTAGCCACATCAGGCCCACTGCCTGGCTTTGTAAATAAAGTTTTATTAGACCACAGCCACACGTGCTCATTTGCACAGTGTCTGTGGCCGCTCTCTGGCCACGTCTGCAGAGGTGCGTGGTTGCGATGGGGGGGGGGGGGCATAGCCCCCAGTGGCTACAATATTACTACCCTACCCCGTAAGAGAAGGGTGACCCCTGATTTAAATGATCAGTCTGACCATCTATCAGTTTTGTAAATTCCACAAGAATTTTTCTTTGTTTTCTGTTTGCTGGTTGCCGGGAGGCCAAGAGTGGAGCTTCAGGGCCCCAGGGTGCAGAGGCGGGGGCGGGAGGAAGAAGGCTCAGGAGGAACATCGTGGGCGGGAAGAATGGTAAGTCCAGAGACCCAAACAAAGCAGAAGGGGAGGGTGTTGGAGTAACTGTTCCAAATTTGAGTGTCTGTAGTTTAAAATCGAGAGGAACTGGTGGTCGTGGTAGAATTCGGAGTCCCACTTGAGGTCTGGATCACAATGGCTTGTGTCTTGGGCTCTGAGGGAGCAGTGACGTCAGGACACTGGGGACAGCACAGAGAACGCACTGGAGGATGGTGGAGGCAGCCAGGGCGGGGCCTCCTGCAGAAAAAGGCGCCTGTCCCGAGCCTCTCATTTACATGCCCCAGGTGGGAACTGGAAATGCGACTCATCACCTTCACTACTACCCATCTTTAGGAGGTGGGGACCACACGAAAAAGGGACAGCTTCTCGCAGGTCTCACTCGGTCTCTCAGGCCTTACTCTTCGTGACTCTGGTTTTCCCAATGCTCAGTGAGCTTCACAGTAGCCAGTGTCCCCGAAGTCCCCACAGACTTGAGCTGGTGTCCCGAAGGGTGGCCGTGGTCAGGCCTTGTCACACTCAGCAAAGGGCCTCTGGGAGTCCTCTAGGGGTCACTGTAATGACTTCCAGTGGTCAGTTTTGTTTTTGTTTTTGTTTTTGTTTTGTCTCATCCCAAGCGCGTCCCTGCAGGGAGAGTTCCGCCTGTGTCAGGGGAGTCCCGGGTCCCAGGAGGCGGGTGCGGGGGCCTGCACGAGGCAAACACACGGAAGCTGCACTAACGAGCTCCCTGGGGACGGGCTGCTGTGATGGGGGAGGGCCGCGCGGATCCCGTAGGAGGCGGTGCAGTGAGACCGGCAGGCAGGCAGAGTGTGAGCACCAGGCCACGGCAGGAGGCTCCGAACGCCGGCAGGAAGCCTTTCCTCCTGGGGCTATTCCATCTGACTCCCTTTTTAAAGCACTAATTCCATATGTTTTAGGACTTTTTAAAATCAAATGTATTGGGGTGACATGGTTGATGATGACGTCAGTTTCAGGCATGTGACTCGACCTCTGTGTACTTCATTCGTCACGTGCTCACCTTTCGCAGTCTAGCCTCCTTCCGTCACCGTGTACTTGACCCCGTGGCGCCGCCCCCCCAGCCCTGTAGCCACGTCCTATCGTCTGTGTATGGGGCTGGCCGGTTCGTTCGTTTGCTGCTTTCTGTCTTATGTCCCACGGATGAGTGAAATCACACGGTTCTCGGCCTTGTCCTGTCCATCTGACTTATTTCACTTAGCACGATACTCCCAAGACTCCCAGTGATGTTGCAAAGGGTAAATTTTCAATATTGTTACTGATTTTAAAGAGAGGGGAATGGAGGGAGAGACAGAGAAACGTCCATCCGTTGCCCTCATGCACACCCCAGCCAGGGACGGCACCCACAACCTCGGGATGTGCCCCAACCTGGAATCGAACCCGAAACCCTCTGGGTCACAGAAGGACACCCCAGCCTACTGAGCCACACTGGCCAGGGCACAAACAGCAACACTTTATCTTTTCCTGTGGCCGACTAGCATCCGTTACACGTGCACCGCACCTTTGTCCCTGCTCACCGCTGGTGGGGATGTCAGTGGCTGCAGCCACTGTGGACCCGGTGTGGGGGCTCCTTGGAAGATGAGGGGCAGTGCAGCCGTGTGACCCAGCAGTCCCCCTTCCAGCTCTCTACCCGCGAAATTGGAAACCATAATGATGTATGTACCCCTAGGTTCACTGTAGCGTCCCTCACAGTAGCCGAGACAGGGACCGTCCAGTGTCGTTCGGTGGGTGATCAGACAAAGCAGCTGTCTCGGGGTCCCCCCGGAGGTGCGTGAGTCGGAGGTGTGCGCGTACCTGGGTTGTGGCTTCAACCCCCAGCTGGGGCGAGTGCGGGAGGCCACCAGCCGATGTCTCTCCCCCCTCAGGCCGCCTCTCTCCCTCTCCCCTTCTTCCTTCCTCTCTCTCTTAGGTCAGTAAACATCCTCGGGTGAAGGTAAAAACCAACAACAAGAAACACTTCTGGAGCCAGTCACCACTAATCTTGAAAATCGCACCGGAGGCGTTTGCCGTACAGGAGTTGCCTATATTTTGATTGGTTGGGCCCTGTTTTAGCCTTACATTACCGTGCTGTTCTCAGTAGTGGAAGAGAACAGGAGACATTAGAGAAATACATTATCCAGCCTTGGGGCCAGGCCAGAATCATACCATTCAAAATCAGGCTGTGACTCGGAGCCCAGCTGCCCTAAGTGAAATCTGATAAGGCTTTAAATAATGCACTGTTCTCTGCTATTCCAGAAACTCAAGGAACTCCTGGAATCTTTACGGGTCACTGGTGCTCTTGTTCGAAAATAAATTAAGATTAATTCGTGATAGAACAAGTATTTGTCATACGTGTTTCTTTCTGGAAACCTTATCTCCTTTTCTCTTTATTAAATAGGAATGTAGCCACTCATTCCCTGCCCTCCCAGACCCCAAGTTGCTCATCGCAGACCCGTCCTGGTCTTTGCTGGCCGGGGGACGGAGTCCCGCTCATTCTGTTCACTGATGTCCGCACGTGCGTGTGTGTGTGGTCGCAGCAGCGACTCTGGGCAGTGCAGGGTGCAAGACGCTGCTGGGAGTGGATGCCGGGGCGAGAGAGGGCTGGAGGGCACGGGCCGGACCGTGTGGGTGCAGGAGGGAGCAGGAGAGGGGACCGCTCTTGCCCTGCGGGGGGCACAGCTGCTAAAGGAAGGAGGTTCCTGTGGTGAAGGCCTTTCTCCACCCTTGAGCACCAGCAAAGGAAGAGAAACTGGGCCTAAAAACGAGCCGGGTTGGTGGGCGGCGCCGTGCTTCCTCCGTGAGAGCCTCGCTCACGGTCGGACAAAAAGTTCATGTGGGCTTTTTCCATGAAATAAAAGACACTTTTCCTTTCCACCAATAACTTCATTGATGTGGGTACGTTGAGTATGTTGGCTCTGTCCTGCTCCTGGTTTCTAGTGGGCAGAGGCCTGGGGGGCTGCTAAACACTTTCCAGAGCAAAGGATTATTTGGCCAAGATGTCAGTAGTACCAAGAAACTGCGCAAACCACTTTTGACACGTTCGATTAGTCACAGCACCTTCTCCACACACTGTACACATTTGTTTTTGCATTTCAGTGGCGTTTCTTACCTTTCTTGAAATAATAAAGCACAGTACACTGAAAATGATGCATATTTTCTTCCATCTTTAACATTAAAACGGCTGCACAAAAATTCACCAATTTTGATACGTTTTTTTTTTTCTTTAATGCACACTGATAGGACAGCTGTCACAATACAGTCTAACAGAGTTGTCTCGAATGAAGTTAGAGACAACTAAGTGCTGTTTAGAGCCATCCTAGGAGAAAACCAAACGAACGTTTTTGGCCAGTCAGTACAGAGAAAGGCCGGACCAGGCTCTGACCCGGAGCAGTTCGTCCCCGGGGAAGCAGCAGGCCTGCGGGGACTGCTTGGGGCAGTGACGGGGGCGGGCGGCGTGGGGGCGGGGACAGGAGTCTCCCTGTCCTCTGAGCTCTCGCTTGTGACAGCACCCCTGTCTGTCCTCCTTCAGCTGGCCCGCAGGCACACGGGCCCCCTCAGCTCAGCGCCCTTGTCCCCGTGCGCCTTCCCCGGGGCCGGTGGTGTGTAACAGAAGCCTGAGATTTCACTCATGCATGTTCGGCCCACTGGGGGCGGTTTATAGAAAAATGTGCAGTTGCCTCTGATGACCTCGCCACCAGAGATGAAGGCTGCGCCTTCCACCGCACCCGCGTGCCCTTCAAACGACACCAGCCACGGCGATGCTCGCCATCCTGACCCGACTCTCTGCTTGCAAGAATGCCTTTTTTCCTTAAATCTTACGGTACGGTCACGTTTGCTCTCCCAGCTTCTTTCCGGATTTAAGGGAAACGCTCATCCCAACCGCTCCCGTCAGTAACTGTTAAATCTGATTCTGCGTCCTGTCGGCTTTGATCTAAGAGCTTTTCTTTACATTTCTAATGTGCGTAAAAGTGATGTCCTAGCTTCTGAATGATTTTAGTCACCTTTTAGTTCGGTCATTTTCCTCTTGGAGCTTTTTGAACTGACCTTCACATGTGAAGTGCAGCAACCAGACCAGACCAGACCCAGGAGCCAACACCCTGGGTGCTTTCCTGGAAGGGCACTGTGACCCCTCATGTTCCACCCTCAGTGTCCCCTGTGATGGCCGCCGGGACGCCGTTGTCTCCACAGCCCACATCCTCGGGGGCCCCCGGGCCACCAACCAGAGGCCTTTGCCGAGTCGCTGCTCACTGTCCACAGCACTCGTCCCATGAGCCCGCTCTGATTTCCTTCCTGCGAACACCCGGCCGTCCCCGTGGAGGTCCCCTGCCTGCTCTGTGCCCACATCCCCATTTCACGGCTTGGGGCCCCTCCCATCCCCTTGGCACCTGGCCAACGTCGAAGGCCTGCCTTGAGCCCTGAATGGCAGCCAAGGTGCAGGGGACTGAGCAGTGGCCTTCCCGCCTTCAGATGGGCTGCTTCCAGCCCTGTTTGGGGCACCTACCTTTGCCCATCCTCGAAGGCAGCAGTGGTTCCCAGCCCCTCGAGCGTCTGAGGCCCCGAAAGGTGAGAGGGCGTTACATGCACACGTCACTGCTCCTCGGAGCAGACTCCCTGAGACACGCGGTTTCTTTCCCGTCACCACGGAGCCTCGGTCAGACATCGGGAAGTCAGTCCGCACCACTGTGCGCCCAGACCAGCCATCTCTGCAGTTTCCCCCGCACATGTCTTTTGTAACAAAAGAAAAACAATGTTTCTAGGCTGGGATCCATTCCAGGATCACATGGTTCCCTCGTCTCTTCAGCGTCTCTGTCAAGGTCCTCAGTCGGCCGTTGCCCTTTGCGATCTGCTGACTCGTGTGGGCTGTCCTCCGAGGGGCCGCAGCCGCGTGGGCACACAGCGGGCTGGGCCGCAGCACCGCGGGGCATCGGAGAGCCGAGAGCAGGCCGCCGTCACGGAGTGCTGGCTGTGTGCCGCGCGCTGTGGGAGTGCTTTGCACAGTCCCATGTCACCTTCCCAGCAGCCCTGGGTGATGGGTATTGTCGTGTAGACATGAAATCTGAGAAGCAGAAGTGACCTGCCCAAGGTCATGTAGCCAGGAAGAGGCAAGGCCAAGCTCCATGGTCCTGGGAGTGCGTGACCTGCAAAGACCAAATCCAGGCACCAGCCATTCCCTGCCCTCGGGTGAGTAATCAGCTGTAAACGCCTCTGTTTTATCCACTGAAATTGGGACTAATGACATGTACTTTGTTAATTTGTAAGAATTATATATGGTAATCTGTTAAAGCACTTAATATGTAGCAAGAGTGAGTGAAATTTAAACTGTAAACATCAAAGAACTGGCGTGACTCACACTGAGATATGGTAGCTCTCAGCACTTTTGTAACCTTTGGGAGTGGGAAGGGAAGGGGACCAGAGCCCCCACATCTCTTCACAGTTTCAGATTTGGGAGGGGGCTGGGCGGGGTCTAGGAACAACCAGCCGAAGCCGCCTTCCAGGCAGATGAGGAGTCACGAAGCACAACTTGAGGAGGAAGCTCTGGAAAGGGTCCCTGCGTCGTTACTTAGGTCAGAAAAGGTGCCGAGTCCTGTGGGAGGAAAGGTCAGCCGCTCCCCGCTTTGGGGAGGGCACTGCTCTCAGCCGGTGGCTGCAGGAGGGTGTGGGGTGGCAGGACCGCTGAGAGGTGCGGTCCCTGTGATGGGAAGTTTTTGTTCAGCCTGAAGACCCGGCAGGTGCGGCCGCTGTGCCGACGGGGAAGGCGAACACACGGGGAGGAGCTACTCGTAGGGCTCAGCGCCAAGTTTTGTCGTCTGTAAGAGAATTGAGGGGACGTCGGGGCTCCGTGGCTGTGATGGTGGGCAGGGCGCGTGTCCAGCCGCCTCTGTCAAGGCCTGGTGCTCCCCCCGCGCCCTGGGTCTGGAGCCCTAGACTCCAGGCTGGTCCAGCACTGACGGTGTTGGCACGGGGGCTGGCCCGGCGGGGCCCTCCCCGGCCTTCCCGGCTTCTCCCAGCCCGTCTGCAGAGGGCCTGTGCTGGAGGGAGGCCCGAGTTTCCCCGGAAACGGCCCTGGTGTTGTTCCAGGGGGGCCTTCCCACTGGGCCGGGGACTCATCTGTGGCTCAACAAAGTAGCGGCATCTCTGCCGGGTGAGAGGCGGCGCCTGAGTGAGACGCTTCATCTCTCAATGTGCCGGCGCTGACCGTCTCCGAGGGCACCGTGCAGAACCGAAACGTGCACCGGGGCATCTGCCTGCATCCACCCATCTCCCAGTGGGTGCACACGGGTGCCAGTGGGCCCATGGCAGGCCTCCACCTCGCTGCTTCCCAGCGCCAAGCACAGAGGCTGGCAGGTGTCAGGTCTGGCTGGCACTGGCCCCTCTGAAAGAACAGAGGGAGGCACATTCTCTCTGGCATTCGACGCCAGGATCACTTTACTCGCTCCATTAAAGCTGCTCCTGCCTGCTCCTTGCATGGTCTCCCTCTGTGCTTCTAAGACCTGTGGTCCTGGGCTTTCGGAGAGAACTCACTTAGCTCCCCGTGGGCTAAAGGCACCTGTTCTGAAGCATTACTAATCCTCTGAGAAGCCGGGACTCTGGCTATCAGTAGACTCTGAAAGCTTCTGATAACCGGTTTCCTTCTCAGATCACTGATAAGGCTTTTAACTTGGACTTGGAGCGGTGCCCTGGGTAATGAGGGCTGCTGCTGTTCTAGTTCTGGCCAGGTCAGCTAGAGAACCGAAGACCTCAGCGTCCCCCGAGGCCACACTGGGAGCAGAGGCTCTAGAATCCCGGTCAGCCAGGTATCGCCCCATGCTCTTCACTGCGTCTGAGCGCCAGCCAGGACGTTATTTACCACCTTTCTTCCAAGTACCTTCGTTATTATACTTAAATCTGTTTTACTGCCCGAAGTGGAAAATTAGTATCACTTGCCCTTAGCTGGAATAAAATAAATACAATGTAAACAAGTTACTAAGTTCTACCTGGATAATACTGCTTGCCAAAGGTGCTGAGCCCGGCCTGTCTCCTTTTTCCTGCTGTAGCCGTTCTGAGTGATGCCTTTGTGTCCAGGTGGCACTTGGCCCACCTTTGATGACCAGGTCCCTTGGTGGGAAAGTTCCTTCCCCTCATTCTGTGTCAGGAGCAAAGCGTCTGATGGACTGGACTTGTGTGAAAACTCCTGTCCGGGATGTGCTAAGAGTACATTCCATGAGGGAGGTAGTTGACGCTGTCCCTCCACCGAGAAACGTGTGACCTGCTGAGGGGCCACGTAAACCGCCGAGAAGCGGGAGCGTTGATGAAGGCCCAGAAGCGGCCCCGGCCAGCTGGCCCATTCGGAGCATCGTGGCATGCACCGAAAGGTCCTGGGTTCGATCCCCCCCTTCGGGGCACGTGCCTGGGTTGTGGGTCTGATGTTGGGGCCCGTACAGGAGGCAGCCCATAGATGCGTCTGTCTGTCTCTCTCTCTCTCAAATCAAAAAACACATCTCCGGGTAAAAAATTTTTTAAAAGCGCAGAAGCAGGAACCCTATTTACTGTTTATATCTCATCTCCCAACTCCCTGCACCCGGCAGTCTCCAGCTGGTCGTGCCTTCGGGTCTGTTTTCATTTTATTTGTGCATTTCTTTAGAGCCCACGTATAAGTGACACTGTGGGTGTTTGTCTTTGTCTGTCTGACTGACCTCGCTTGGCAGAATACCCTCCAGGTCCATCCACGTTACTGCAGACAGCAAGACCACTTCTTCGTGGCTGAGCAGCACTCCACGGTGCACAAGGACCAGCTGTCCTGGTCCGCCCGTCTGCTGACGGACCCCTCGGTCCCTTCCATGTCTTGGCTGTCACTGCTGGAGCTGCGGTGACCGCAGTGGGGGTGCGAGTGCCTTTCTGAATTAGTGTTTCTGTTTTCTTCAGATAAAGACCCAGAGGTGAAATGGCTGGATCGTATATGCCGTTTTTAAATTTTTGAGGGATTTCCATACTGCTTTCCGCCGCGGCTGCACCAGTTCAGTCCCACCACTGGTATACAAGGCCTGCCTTTGCTCCGTGTTCTCGCCAGCACACTGTTGATTGACTGATGGTGGTCACTCCAGCAGGTGCGAGGTGATAGCTCATTGTGGCTTTAATTGGCATTTCCCTGATTACTGAGGCTGGGCATCTTTCTGTGTGTGTGCTGGCCCCTGCATGTCCTCTGGGCAGAAGTGTCTATTCTGGTTCCCCTTCATTTTTAAATTGGATTGTTTTGGGATTTGGGGGGGGGGGGAAGGGTTCACTTTTATGAGTTTTTTATATATTTTAGATAGTAGCCTTTTGTTGGATATGTCATTTATGAATACCTCTCCCATGCAGGTGATCTTTTTGTCTGTTGGCTTCCTTCACTGTGCAAAACCTTTCTACTCTGATGTAGTCATGTTTTTCTTTCTTACTTCCCTCCCCACGGAGACATGTAACAAGATACCTGCTAAGAATGATATCAGAGTTTGCTGCCTGTGGTATCTTCAGGTTTCGTGGTTCAGGTCTAACATTGAAGGCTTTAATCCATTTTAAATGTATTTTTGCATATGGTGCAAGAAAGTGGTGGTTTTATTGCTTGTATGTATCCGGTTTTCCCAACACCACGTACTGAAGAGACTGTCTCTACCCTGTTGTACATCCTTGACTCCTCTGTCATACATTAACTGACCATGTAAGTGAGGATTTATTTCTGCGTTCTGTATTGTGTCCCATTGATTTATATCTGTTTGTATTGCTGCTACTATACTGTTCTGACTATTGTAGCTTTGTAGTATAGTCTGATATCAGGGAGCATGATACTTCTTGCTCTGTTCTTAAGATTTCTCTTGGCTATTCAGGGTCTTTTGTGGTTCCATATAAAGTTTAGAATTAGTTTTTCTGTCTCTGAGAAGCGTGCCATTGCTATTTTAACAGGGATTGCACTGAATCTGCATATTACTTTAGGTAGTATGGGTATTTTAACAGTGTTAATCTTTTCAATCCATGAGCAAAGTATAGCCTTCCATTTATTTGTATCTGTCTTTCTTCAGTGTCTTACGGTTTTCTGAGCACAGATTTTTTTTTTTACTTTTTTTGATTTAAAAAAATATTAACTGCATTATCAAATAAGCCCCAAGATTTTACTGGCTTAACACTACAAGATTATTTCTTATTCAGGATAACATGGTCGAAGCTGTAAGTTAGCTTGTAGGAGGTTGGCTTTCCTCCCAGTGATGCTTCCGGGCCCGTCTTTGATTCTGTGGCTTCGTCATCCCTAGGGGGTCGATTACTCTGTGTGTCCAGCTGGTGCAGGGGTGTTGGGGGAAGCGGCAGAGAGAGGCCCAGAAACACGCAAGTCCCTCCTGCTGGGGTGTGAGCCGTGAGGCGGGAAGACAGGTGGGCGAGCTCCGCCTGCCGTGGGTCTCGCCCTCACGGTTCCCAGTGTGCTCGGCACAGAGCGGACCCCACCCATTCCAGGAAGACTCACCCACCCCCGTGTCCCAGCTGGGCCTGCCGCCCTCAGGGTCGCAGGTAGGGCACAGGCTGGCCCCGTGTGAAGAGGGTGCAGGGACGAGGGACTGGCCAGGTCCCAGGGAAAGTGACAGGCGGACAACACATGGGGACACTCAACAGCTCAGGTCGAAAGGCCCCGAGAGGGCGTCACGTTTGTTCCGACCAGGTTATGACCTTAGCCAGCCTCCGGAATGCAAACCACCCTTCGCTTGGAATCAGTGTGCCTTTTCCCCAGGCTGAAAGCCATCGCCTTCCTATTCATAGGCGCCCCGCATTCCAGACGCTGCAGAGTGAGTGTGTCAGCGACACAAACACCTTGTCCAGGAAGGATGCCTCCCAGGGAAACCCCCCCGCCCCCCATGCAGGCTGTGTCAGGCACCCTCCCAGTCGTGCGGTCAGCACGTGGGCTTTGCGGTTTGCGCTCTGTGTGGGGGAGGCTCCGGAAACCTCCGCAGCTGAGGGGCCTGCCCACTGTCCCCTTTGCCGTTCTGTTCAATGGAGTCATTGTTCCTCTGGTCTCAACTTGCCATCATGATTCGCTGCCCCAGGTATGACGAAGTCTCAGGTGATGTTTCTGAAGAACAAACAGCAGATCAGCAGGACTGTAGCCGGAGCAGCAGGTGGGGGCTCGAGCTGCTCCTGCTGTCTCCGGCCTCCGGGGCGGCTGGGCTGCACCCCTCGGGGCCTCTTGGGCCCCGGGTGGGTTGGTTTGGCTGTGCACGGGGGTCCAGTTTCCAGACTGGGTGCCACAGCTTTTGCTCGGGCGTTTCCCAAACAAAACACTAAAGCAATACCAAATCTTCAGTTATGCCTGATAAATGTTTTTCAGAAGCTCTTTTTTTGTCTTCTTTCTCAGGCAAATTTTTAAATAAGGCCTTAGGCCAAACCATGAACCAAAAAAAGCAAGGTACGAACCTTCTTAACTTACCAAACCTCAACGCTAACCTCGCTTTTTTTTTTTTTTAAAGTAATACTAACAACTTGGGACTTTTTAAAAACAGACTTGAAGCACCACCGGGAATTAAAAGCTTGTTTTCTAAACAAGGTGAAGTAGAGCCCCCAGAGGATTTCTGACTCTGAAATCCTCCCGGGCTGGGTCTCCGCCCCCTCCCCGCCCCTCCGCGAGCCTCGGTGGCCAGGGCCCCAGCAGGTGGCGGAGGCCGGACTGGCACCGCAGCCACAGGGACACCCTGTCTGTCTTTCAGGTTCAGTATTTCTTCAAGATCCTGGACAACTAGCCGCGCAGGGGCGGGGAGGCCGCGGCCCAGGGCGTTCAGACGCGAGCGAAGCACGCACGTGAGGAATGAGTTCATTCTTTTATTGTCTGTCGTTTTCACTGACTGAATACAAGTCAACGAGAGCACTGCACTCCTGGCGATTGTTACACACACGTTAGGGCACGGAGTTTGCACTGCAGACAACATTGAACACCGGTCTGTGGGGCACTGCATCGCTCTTTATAAAGTCCAAAATAAAGGTTTATTTTTCAAACAAGTGACTTTGGTTTATTTCATACATTACACTTCTTCTTGCAGGAAAAAAAAATAAAATTGTACAACTGCATAAATATAAAATTCTTCCACCATGAAAATGGTCAAAACATTCACGAAGACACGGCACCAGCGCGTGATGCCTCCCGGGAAAGGAGGGAAGGAAGGAAACGCACAGGCAGATCCACCGGGCCGGCTCCCCGAGGGCCTGGGACGCAGCGGGGGCCAAGGTAAGAGACGGCCGGACCGTGTCCGGTACGAACACAACACGGCCCCTCACCCTTCCGCGTCTCTCTGCAGTGTCCCCAGACATTCAAAGGGCGGTTCCCCCGTGACACCCCCACACCCCCCAGCCCCAGGGAGGGGAAGAGAAAAAAGAATAGACCTGACAAACACCACAGGAAAGACTATGGAGTGTGTGAAAAAGGGTCGTTGGTGGGCCGATACCTGTGAAAGAGCCACCCCCCCCAGAGAAGTGCCATGCCAGTGCCACCCCCTCAAGTATTTACACCGTGGACAGCGAGCCTCGCTCACGTGAAGTAGAAAACAGACGGGGAGACATGGCTTGGAAGTGACCAGGGCTACACCGAGTGACACACACGCGGCAGCAACGCCTAGGGCCAGTGACACCGCTCACTACACGTCAGAGTGGAATCATAGTTTACAGTAAAAAGGGCACGTCCCAAGGCTCAATTTGTGTTTCTCTGTTGTCATTTACAGTAGAATAAATATTTTGTTGCTATTGCTACACTTTAAATTTACATTCTAACCTAGGAGATGCGGAAAGCTAGTGTAAAGCGGATAGATTAAGTGTAGGTCCCTTACGTATGACAGTTTGTTCAAGACTAGTAGGTTTCTGTATCTTTTTAAACTTTTTAAATGGCTAGTGGGAACGGTCTGTGCTTGCGATCAGCTCCTGACTTCGATTTTCACATCGAAGCGTCCCTGAAAGCGGTCCTTCTCGCTGTACTGGATGTTCTCGCCGAACGCCCGGCACTCGACACGCACCTCCGTGTCCAGGGTAAGGTTGGTGAACTGCACGGCCAGCAGGGGCTGCAGGTACTTGGGCTGCAGGAGCTTGCCGTAGTAGGGGTAGTACTGCAGGGGGAAGCCCGGGTAGCCGCCCAGGCCGAAGTACTCCACGGCGCCGACCCGCTCCTTGTCCTCGTCCCGCTGGAAACGAGGAGGAGACAGGACATCAGACCCTGGGTCCCGGCCCGCAGACGACCGGTGGGGGTGGGCACGGTCACCCCCAACCTGCCCTGCCGCACCGGTCCCAGGAGGAGGTGAACACTGACCCTGGAGGGCACCGGGGGGACCCGATGCCCAGGAAACAACAGGCTTTCGGCCCGGAGGGCGGGCAACGGACGGGTGGAGGCGTCCTCGCTGCACAGACCGAGGCCGCCCCACCCACCGCCTCATTCTCCTGGCACTTCCCCCCGCCAGAGGCTTCGGCTCAGCCACAGAGACTGCTTCCTGGAAGCAAGGTTTCCTGCTTCCCCACCAAAATTTTACCCCCAGCTTGAAACAGCCCGCCCGGCCCCCCATCACCACGCCCCCCGAGGCCCCTCACCTTGCCGGTGCACTGGACGGGCAGCACGTAGGGGTTGTACTTCGCCCCGAGGGAGTTCTCCAAGGACTCGTTCTTGGGCGGCTAGAAAGGAAACGCACCTCGGTCAGAGAGTGTGTGGACCGCGTGTAAGTCTCCGGGAGAGGACACGAGCCTGTAGCCCAAACCAGCAACACGCTGGTCAAGGTAAGTGGACTGACGCCACGACACGACGGCAGACGAGCGAGTGTCCTGACCCGCCGAGGGGCGGTCGTGTCCTGATGCTGCTGGACGCAAAGGCTCCCGAGCTCTGGGAGGCGGCCCGGCCCCCGGTGGAGCTTCTGCTGGGAGCCCGTTGTCACCCAAGGACCCTGGGAAACAGGAGCCGCCCAGAGCCAAGTTCCTTGTTCGAGGAGATTGTAACAATCAGAAGGGAGGTCGACGTTTCCGTTTCTGTAAAACTCAGCTTGCCTCCCTGGCCACGAAACAGTGACGCACCCTCCCCCTCCAGCACCAGCCTCAACCAGACCTCCTTTTCCTGTGATGTCCAGTGGGGGCCCTGAAATTGGGGAAGCATTTCTGTTTGTTAGGGAGGCCCCATCTGCAAAGAGATAAAGGGGGCACTACCCTAAATGAAGTGCACTTCGAGAAGTGCTGTTGGAGCAAAGCAGCCAAACCCTTCCCTCCTGCACCTGGGGCTCGACTCCACCCGCTCCCCTGCTGCCGCAGGCTGGCTTCCAGCAGCCACACCTGCACCTGGGAGGCGTGGTATGAGGCCCAGGCAGAAGGGGCAGTTCTCTGTCTCCGCACCCAACTCACACTCCCAGTTTCTGCTCTGATTCGGAACACCAGCGAGTAACTATCGGGACGGAACTCTCCTCTCCGCGAATGCTCTGCCAGAAATCCGCGCATCTTTAAAAACAGGAGGATGAGACTGGTGAACCAGAGAGCCAGATTCCAGAGACAGGAAGCCCTGTCCTGCAGGTCGGTGCACAGCGCCAGTTCCTCTCAGGACAGATGCCACCTCAAGGTGACGGTGCCCACGTGGGCAACCAGGGGGGGGACCAGACCTGCTGGAAGAATCCACGCTTTGGAAAAGGCCGGCATGATCCACTCACGATCTCGGGGAGAAAAAGTAACTAGTTTTATAGAAGCGGAGACACCACCCATGAGTTTTCCCTTTTTTACGGAACTGCTATCATCTCACCAAATGGTGAGTCTGCCATCCTTCAGAGTCCCCCCCAAAACGCTGGCGCAGCGTGGGCGGCCGTGAGGCTGGGAGCCCACGGGACGGCTGTCAAAGTCTGACTTAGATCTCACCTCCAGTTCAGCAGGGACGTCCTTGCTCAGCTTACCAGTTATTTTTAAAGAACACCACTCCAGCCCCGAGAGCACCAAAACCAGAGTGCAGTGGTATGTGCAAGTAGTTTTGAAATTTAAAAGTATCTTTTCCTATTTTTACTTTTCAAGAGTTTGCATTATACATGTGGCTTCCTGGCCTTTTGGTGAAGACCAAGGGCAGCGTCCGCTCCGACCAGGTGGAAGGGCTCGCGTTAGAAAGCTGCTCTCTGGGGGCCGAGCTCAGGAGGTAAGGCCAGGCCCTGCCACTCAGAACCCTCCCAGCTGGAGAGCACGAGGAGCGCCCAGCCACAAGGGCTGCGAGGTGGGCACGGGAGTCTGCGATGCCGCCCCTCACCGGGCTGCAACACCCTCTCTGAAGCTCTTTCCAACTTCCCCAGACCCTCTGCTCACACCAGTGAAGCACTGTGTCTGGCCCATAGTGGGCCACCCCCCACCCCCAGGGCCCTGCAGGGTGAGACGTCACTCGCCTTAGGTTTGAAGCCCAGGACTCGGTTGAGCTTGATGATGACACAGGGCTTGCCCTCCCTGTAGCCGTACGTGTCGTCCTGCAGCCCAGAGCAGTTGCCCAGCCACTCCAGCCTGAACCTGCAGACCTTCCGCTGGCCCGCGTCACTGTCGAAGGCGCCTCGGTCTTTGAACTCGCTGGGCACGCCTGCAAAAGTGAAGACTCTGTGTGTGCTCTTCCCACCATCCCCTTCGGCTGGGATGTCCGACCCGTGGCCCGGGATGGCTATGCATGCAGCCCAACACAAAATCCCAAATTCACTGAACACACCGTGAATTTCTTTGTGTCACAGTGTATTTAACGTGTGACCCAAGGCAGCGCTTCTCCAGTGCGGCCCAGAGACGCCAAAAGGTTGGACACCCTGCTTAGCGCCCTGCTAAGAAAGGACAGGCGCTTCCCCCTCGTCCCAGCCACCCGTGCTGGGTGGCGCTGTCAGGCTCCGGCGAGCCAGCTCTCGGCTCTTCACTGATGGTAAGAAGGCATTTTACCGAAAGCAACTGCCAGTCCCCACACCCACACGGACTGTTGTCGCACTGGATAATTAGTGAGTGACCTCTGGTCCCTGGCAGGATTTCACTCCCTTAAATGACGGGAACCTGGCCGCGCGTCCCGAGCAGCGGTGGGGACCTGCCGTCAGAACGAGAGTCACAGGGTTACGGCCCCTTTCAGAGCCGGGGTTGTGGTCAGAACTGCCCGGGCTCGGCCTCTGAGGAGCAGGATGAACAGCAAAAAGGAAAAGAATTTTTTTTCCCCTTTCAACTACCATTCAAGGGTTTTTTGTTTTTAATTTCCTTTCAGATTTGAGTTTTTGCCTTTCAAGGCAGTGAGCTCTAGAACCATTTGTTCAACTGAGATACTTTACTATAGCATTTTTTTATTCCCCATGATAAACCCAGAAAAAGAAAAAAAGAAATAGAGGATTCAGAGTTAACAGCAAACATCCTGCGGAATGTTGGTGTCAACACACTTTCTATGTAATTTCCATTCACAAAAGTGCCTCAGTTCACTTCCTCGGGCCTTGTAATTACGGAACACTCAGAAACCTTTAAGTTCTAATGAGAAAGTCTTGGTGAGATGTTCCTTGTAACTAAGTCTTTTTTTTTTTTTTTAACTTAAAAAAAAAAAAATCAATGTGGGTCTTGCCTCTTGTGGGTCCCCTGCTGGGAACTGGCCTGCAACCCAGGCATGTGCCCAGACTGGGAATCGAACCGCGATCCTTTGGTTCGCAGGCCCATGCTCAGTCCACTGAGCCACACCAGCCAGGGCTAAATAAGTCAGTCTTTTCAATGTGACTCACGATGGCTCTCCAGCCCACATTACGACCAGGGAACACTCTGCCCCATAAAGACCTGGGCCTGGTGAATGCCCACATGCAGTCAGAAGGCCCCACACGACCGAGTAACCCCGAGGGGCACTCGTGCTGGTGGGGAACGCAGGGCGGCCCAGGGCCGTTCCCCGGGGGAGGCCCCGCGCCCCCTGCAGGGAGGGCTTGCGGGCAGGGACCTGCGACTACACCCTGCTGTGCTGCTCACGGGCACCCGGACCCAGAACTGAACTGAGTCTGCGCAGTGGAAGGCAGAGCTGTCTGGTTTTTTAAAGTAAGACTTGTGGCTACATTGTTCCTTCCATGGTATCCAAGCCCAAGCCATCTAAAGTCTTCCTACTTTTAAAAAAAGAAGTGTCCTCTCAATACGGCCAGAGTTCAATCTGCCCGTCACTTCAGGAGGATCGCTCAGTGATGACACACCAAACAGGAACGGGAAATGTGAAGGGACCGACCTCGAATGCCCGGAACGGGCCTACTCACTGCCGCAGTCTTCGAAAACCATGTCGTCCCGCTGGGCGATGTCCTTGTACTTCTCCAGGAAGCGGATGATGTTCGTCACGTAGGCGTCGTAGCTCTTGGGGTCGCTGGGGCGGAAGGAGATCTCGGTCTTCTGGATCTGGGGGACCTGGGTCAGTCCTGGACCGGGCAGAGGCAGGAACAGCGTGCGTCAGTGGGGAAAGGGGCACCTCCAGACGCTGCTCCTCCCCTGTGGCTAAAAGACAGCCGTCCTCACGTTCTTCAGGGCACCCGGGCAGACGGGATGCCAAGGACACAGTTACAGTGGGAGTGACCTCGAGGGCGAGGTTTGAGGACGGACACCGGTGAGGCCAGACTGACCTCTTTCCGAGTACCCAAGGGGGCCTTGGAGCTTCAAACGTGGGGGAGTAATGGGGCCCGGCTTGGGGGCTGGTGGGGCCATTTCACCCATGGCCACAGCTTGAAGGAGGGACGTGGAGATCTGGGGCCAGGCAGAGGGTGGCCTGAGACAAATGTCATTAGGAGTGACATTAAGAATCATTTCAAAAGGATGATGTAGAACTGGAGCAATTCTGGGGACAGTGCTGTCACCAGCAATGCACAGTCTCAAGGGAAGTCAGCAGAACTCACCCATAAAAAAAAAATCTTCCAATGACTATAAACAAAGGTTACTACAATTGAAGCTTTTCCAATGCTCCCAAACCAGAGAAAACTGTGTGGCCATGGGAATTTGGGTGGGCCCTGAAGAACCCTTCCCCACATCACATCAGGAAAACTGGCACTGTGGTCACTTACAGTTCCACGGGCACAGGGACGAAAACGACAGAGACCCACAAAAGTAAAACAGCGAGGCAAGCCCAGGCGGGGAGAAGCCCCACCCCACCAACCCCTGGGACCTCAAGCTTGGGCAGTAAGTGCCCAGAGCCCCACCCCACTGCCAGGACAGGGCCTGCTAGGGGAGCCCTGGTGCCATGAGCTGTAACCAGACACCTGCATCAAGGCCACCTGCCTGGACCTGCAGGAAATGCAGGGGCAGGCCGGGCAGAGGTGTGTCGGAGGAGGTGGGGGGAATGGGGGACCCCTCTAGAACACTCCTGGAGTCGAGAGAACAGAGAAGGGAGCCTGGAAGGGCGCTCAGGCAGGCCCGGGGGAGGCTGGCACTCGGGTGCGGGAGCGCTCAGAGGTGATGCCTTCCCTCTGCCAGGCAGGGAGGGGAGGGGGTTTGCCCGAACCTCTTCCAGGTGTTGCGGGGGGGGGGGGTAGCAGGAGACAGACGTGGACGAAGAGAAGATACGTGTGCACAGGCTAGACAGTGTCCCCAGCTGGGGAAAGAGAAGGCGGGGGACAAAGAGCGTGGAGACCAGGGCAGCTGCTGTCAGAAACATCAGTGTGACCAGCGACAGGCCACCGCAGCCCACCAGGAAGCAGCGCAGGTGACACAGCAGAAAACGAAACCCTGGTGTGACGTCCCTGAGCTGGTGTGAGACGTGGGGGGCTTCGCCCAATGAGCTGCGAAGAGGAAAGCGAACCCAGAAGGTCCCTTTGAAACTAACCCTGGCAGGTCCCAAAGTGCACGGTGAAGTGGACCCCTAGTCCTGTCCCCTCTGGCTGGCCTGGGGCCAGCGCCCCGCCCCAGCGCCTGCCTCTCACTTCCTGGCTGCTCGAGGAGGTCCCACCTCCCGGAGGCCCCCATCCCTCAGGCTCTCCCGGATGAGGGGGAAGAGCGGGGCCCACAGAGCACTTCGCCTCCCCCCACGAGGCCAAGTCCAGGGTCTCCACTGAGAGACCAGGGGGCCCTGTGACAGCCACAGTCCAGCGGCTCCCATGTAGCGCTCTGGGCCTTCACCGCCCAAAGACGACAGGTAACTGCGTCCTCCCGATCCCCAGGGCTGTGGTCGAAGCCGAGTCTGTGCTCCGGCAGACTCGGGCCTTTCTGATCAGCAAGCGCCTCTGCTGTCAATCATGGATGATCTGATTGATGCAAATTGTAGATATTATCACATGCAGAACAGCACTAATGGCTCAGGAGAGACCACAGGCCACATGTTTCTCTACACGGGGCCTCAAGGAAGCAATGAAAGCTATGGAATCACACGGCTCGATTCTCACCTGGGAATCGCCGACCCTCCAAGCTGACATGCAGCGAGAAGAGTATCGAAGGGTCTAGACTTCGTTTGCTAGACAGAAGCACCGTGCCTGGGGAGGCCGGGAATGCAAGAGGGGACCCTGGGCCCTGCTCGGCTGGGTCAGCCCTGGGCCAGAGCCCCTACCCAGCCAGAGTTCCCCTCCTGCAGGGTCCCCAGGACCCGCCAGTCTCCGCCTGCTGGGCTGCCCTAACCGGGAGTGTTCCCTGAGAACATCTCCTCCAAACCTCTTCTCCAAGTGATTTCTCTGAAGTCACTAAATGCCCACAAGCAGCAGCTGAAGGACCCGCCACCTGGTGTCTGCGTCCTTCACGTCATTGACTCGACGCTCCAGACGAATGAGGAGAGGAACAGGAAGGGAACTGGATCTGGCGACTCGGATTAACGTTCTGCCCCCCAAGCGGTGCTCCCCAGGGCAACAGAAACGGCCCCTCCCGCCGGGGTTCTCCTCCATGTGTCTACACCGGGCTGGACACTTGCAGCATGCCCCTCTCTGCACTGCCTGCCCCTTAAGGGGTCGGCTGTAACTGCGGACAGGGAGGAGTTCTGTCTGCAGCAGCAGCTCCGGGAGGCCAAAGACAGTAGAACACCCCACCGCTGGCCGGTGGTGTCAAGTTCTACTCCAGGCAGTGGAGCTGAGGAGCGGCCTCTCCCAGCTCCTGAGCTGCAGCTGACACTCTCGGTGCTGAGCTCTGTCCGGCCTCGCAAGTATGACCATTTGCCTGAAATTACATACTGACTGTGCTTTAATAAAGTCCCCTAAGAACCTGAAATAACTGGGATGCAGAAATGTTGGTGTTTGGTTACGTAAGCCGTACGTAAGATTTGGAAACCTTTGGCTCCTCGTTGCTTCTTAGAGTTACACGTGCCTTTCCCCTTGGTCCCCAACTCTTGAGAAACAAGGAAAACCCTCAGTCTGTGGCTTTGGCGGGTGTTTGTAGGAGGAAGGGAACCCCCAAGTAAGAGGGGAAGGAGAAAGGTAGCTTTTCACTAAGTGTTTTGTTTCCAGATGTTTACAAAGTGTAGCAGGTTTACATCTTCTCGATCTGCTTGAGTCTGAAGCACTTAGAGAACCCACGCCTTCAGCCTTGGGACAGAAACCCCATGAAACCTAGCACACAGAGAGGGGTCCCTGTTGGGCGGTCTCTCTGGGAACCACGAGACACGGCCGGAACCGTGTGGGCCCACTCATATGTGGGCTTTTCCAATGCACTGGAAACTTTTTTGGAGGCTTGTAATTTGAAAAAATTCAGAGGAGCAGCTGTGTAGCCTAGAACTATCAAAAAAAAAAAAAAGAAAGAAAGAAAAAGGTATGTCACGAATGCATAAAATTTAAGTACATCTTTTCTCATTCTGATTTTCTTACTAACACCTTTTCTCCAGTTACTTTACTGTAGGACTACGTCACGGACACCACATAACACTCAAAACGTGTTAGTCGGCTGTTCCTTCCAGTCCACGGCAGGCTATCGGTAGTTCAGTTTTGGGGAGTCAAAAGTTGAACGTGGACTTTCGGTTGCACAGGGGAGTCCGCACCCCTAAGGCCTGCATTGTCCAGGGTTCGACTGCACTGCAGATGAGCCTCCTTTCCCACAGACACCTCAGGGGGGCGCCCACGTGACCACCAAGGGCACAGGAGGCGAAGGGCGCTGATCGGTGTGGGGGCCCCCCCGCACTGGACACCTGCCTGCCGGGTGTCTCCCGGGCACTGCGGGTCGGGAAGTGATTTCCAATAGAAACCCGGGGGCGTGTTTTATAGGCACAGATGAGAGCATAGACTCTCATCTATGCACAGTACACACCTAAACACACATGTGCATGCGTACACTGATACATGTGAACTCGCATGTCCCATGTCCACACACACACACTTTCTCCCTCCGAATGCAGCTAAGATATTTCCAGGTTTTATCTGGTTTTTAACTTTTGTTTTGCCTCCACAATTCAGTATCAATTCACCTAAAAACAGGGAGGGCGCAGGGGCAAAGGCACCCCCATCCCTTCTGGACACCAGCTGCCCCCGCCTGACCTCCTGCCTCAGGCGTGGCTTCAACGGCGTCCAGGGGTCGGCCAGATGCCACTGTCCCTCAAAGGGTTAAAGTCCTGGGGGGGGGGGGGCGGGAGCTGCCAGGCCCCTCTGCACCCGCCGGGGACGTTTGGAAGCCCTCGGCAGACGGGGCCTTTCCTCCCGTCCCGGCTAAATGCCGTCGCCATGTCCTGGGCGCGCACCCTCATCCCCGGGAGAGCCCTGGACAGGGAGCGTCTGCCTTACACGAGCACGTGTGCTCAGACAGAGGCACGGCTGTGCGCTTGGTGCGGCTCACACTGTCCCTCCCAGGGCAAGCACGACTTTCACACAGACACGAAGAGGCCAATCCCCACTCGTATCTGACATGAATCACGCGTGTCTGTTCAAGGCCAGACGGAAGGACGAGCACGGATGCACACTCGCCCTGTCCAGACACGAAACGTGGCATCTGCTCCGTGGCCGGCACCCTGAGACAAGACTCCACCTGGGACCCGGCATCTGAGGATGCCTGTTCGGGCATGTGTGTGGGAGAAGGTGCGCTTTTGGGTCGGAGGCCACCACCTACTACTTCCCTGTTCCCCTTCGTCTGCCCGAGTCAGGTGGGCCCCCGGGCCACGGGTTTCTGGGACAAGGGCACCGAACCCCAAAACATGAAGTGGCCACCCCCACCGCATTGCACCACCTGGAAAGAGAGACCCTGAGGCCTGAGCCCTCCCCTCCTGAGCGCAGCAGAAAAGCCTCGAGTGAAGCTCCGCAGACTCAGTCCCCTCCCACCCGCGGGGGATGGTCACCCGGCCCTATCAGCAGAGCTCACCACTCCACTCATGTTGCAAAGGAGCAAAGCCCACTCTCCCACGGCTCCGAGAACAGGTCAGAGCCGACCGCCAGGCTCCTCGTGCCCCCAAGCAGACTTACTAGCTGCACCCTTGTCTTTAGAAACAAAGAGCAATGTGGGAAGGTGACGAAGCCACGGAGGCTGGGGACACTAAGGGACAAGAACTGGAGTCTGCCAACCTAAAGCCTGTCTCCCACATGGAGTCTGGGCAGCAGCTTCCATAAATCCCGCCTGCCCCCTGTCAGAACCCTGGCCCCCCACCCCCCAGGCCCGGGCTCAGAGAAGGGGCTCCATCGGCTCTGCGGGTTCATCTCACCAGCTCTCAGAAGACTGGTGCGGTCTCATCAGAAGTGGCAGGAAAATGCCTTCCTGGTGCTTTGAGAAAAACAATTCCTCCAAAGTCCAGTGAGCCAAATGGTCCCAATCCCCCCCAGAAATGTAAGTGAAAGAGCCGGGCACGGTGCAGATTGAAAGACAAACAGGCAGCTGTGAGTGTGCCGTCTCAGGAATCCCGCTCGTGCTGAGACTGGAGTTGCAGTGCCTCGGACCCTGGTGGATTCTAAGGCAAGATGCCCCCTCTGTCCACCCAGAGCAAACCCAGGCCCCCGGAGGAGCCGCGTGGTCTGCTGGCTTCACTCCCCCAACCCTCCCACCTCGGCTCTGGTCGCTGTCGCATCAAAACCACGACCATTTTAAAGATGCTCTTGCAGCACCTCAATCAAAACAAAAGCCGCCCCAGCCGCAGGACCAGAACACACGTTCATACCTGCTTAGCAGCAAGCCAGGCAGCTGGGACCTCCCCTGGACCCGCCGAGTGACATACAGTGACCTTCACTCATGGCACTGTTGCCCAGTGAACTGGGGTGGGGGCCGAGCAGGTGGCGGGGCCGGCAGCGAGGAGCGAGCGTGAGCTGGGTGTGCAGACGTGCCTGGGTCTCTCACCTGCCAAGGTGAGGGTGTGAGACACGTCTGCTGCAGCTCAGAGGCGCCAGAGCTGGTGTGCACAGGACGGAGGAGAACATGGCTGTTAACAACGGCCTTTTCCTGCCTCGGCTCGCCTCGCACGCACTCACCTCACCAGGCCTCCCAGGGCGCCAGTCCCGCCGTACAGATGAGGAGACTGTGGCGCGGGGAGGCGAACAGTGCACAGGATGCTGGGGACCGTGACCAGGGCCAAGGGCCCCCTTCCTCCTCGTGCTCACGGGCAACGGCTCAGGGGGCCAGACCCACGTCCGGATTCAGGTCGGGTGACGGGAACCTGCCTGCCAGCAGGCGGCCATGCTGACCCCTGAGAACAGCTGCTGGAACCGTCTCAACCTAGGGTCCCCGCCGAGGCTGTGGCCCTGGCCCCAGGCCCCGGGGGCGGGTGGGCCCAGATATCCGGGCTCCTCAGGGCTTCGTAAGGAGTGTCCCCGGCCCCTCGCTCAGGAAACTGGACCGTCACCCATTTTTCCTTACGTTTCCCTTTCATTTCATAATTCAGTCCTGACCCTTTCCTATTCGGCCGGTCGGCGGACCCTCACGTTCCGCACGCCCACCCCACCCGGCCCCATCTGAGCTGCGTCCGAGCGGAGAGCGGATCACAGGCGCACACGGGCCGGCCTGCTCGAGAGCCTCCGCTGCCGTCGGCGACGGCTCCAGCAGTGGAACCCCGTGCCCGGTGTGTTGCCCTCGTGAGGTGTGCTTGACTCAAAAACAGAACTTCCCTCTGTATCTTCAAAGCAGAGGCTCAGAGATACTACACTGAAGCCCAATCTCAGCCAGACTTCTCCTGCGTCCGTCTCCGTGGAGACGAGGGAGGGGAAAGAGGGATGACAATTCAGGTGACGAGATGAGGAAACTAGAGGACCAGGCCTGTGACTCAGACCAGAGGACAGGAGCGCATACTTCCAGAATGAGCCACAGGCGATGTTGCTTTGGATGAGCGACTCCGTCGGCCGCAAGGACACTAAATATAGGGGCTGAGGGTGTCTTTTAGGAAGGGGCTGGGGGGCGGTGGGGTGGGGAGGACCCAGCACCGCTGCTGCCACCACCGTGCACTTCCCAGCAAGGTCACCTGCAAGGTCCCCACTGAAGAAGCAGGCACCCCAGCCTCTGCCCATTGAAAGTGAACGTCCATTTCTGCCACGGCCCCTGAGGAACGTTTACCTCCCACAAGAGGCTGACTCCCCGAAGTCTATTCGGCCAAGGACCATTTTTTAAACATGGGAAGTGAAAAACAAAATGCTTGACTTTCTGGTCAACTGTGGCTTTTCGTTAAGAATTATTGGAAAATAGCATCACAATTGAAAAACCGCTTGTAGATGGCAAAACAAACAAGGGGACCATACAAATCTAAGTGGCAGTGACTAATGCCGCCATAAGGAGCCCTGACAGAAGAGGACGAGAGAAGCCGCCCCACTGTGCGGGCACCAGGGCTAGCGGGCAGCGTTTCCCAGACTTCTCCCTGCCAACGCCCCCTCCAACCCCCCGCCCCCCCAGACACCTGTCTTCGGGAACCAGTGGCTGGAAACGACCGGCTCCCAAGAGCAGGTTTAGCCCTTTTCCTACACTTCTGAGGTCTCTGTCCCCCAAGTTTCTACAGTCCCCAAGGTCTCTGAAAATACCGGGGGCTTTCCTTACATCAGAGACCACCTGACCTGGGGCTAGAAGGCAACACTCGCCACCTCCACGCTCGGAACATTTTCTCCCAAGAGCCCTCCACACACCCAAGGAGGTGCCAAGGAGGTGGACATGACGAGTCTGCCGTGGCAGCCGTGTGTGATCACGGCTGCTCGGTGCCAGGAAGGCGGCCTCAGGATTGTCACCTCCATACAGCTGTTCCTCAACAGCTGCCCAGGGAAACCAGAGAGGGAATGCGTCATTGCCACCCCCCCCCAAGGTCATTTATGAGGAGAGAACCCGGAAGTTACTCAACCTCTCCTGGCCCCCGAGGGCCTCCCGACCGTGACTTTTAAGAGGCAGCCACGCTGGTGGCTGCTTTGCTGTGCGGGCCGGTGTGGGCACACAGTGCTGTACAGACGGGGCCAGACTCTCGGCAACGACCTGGCAGCACGCCAGCCCCAGCAGGGCACACGCATGGCACCCGGTGTCTCCTAGAACCTTTGTCAGCCTGGTTTTCAGAGCAAAAGGACACAGTTATGCTGTGGAGCACGTCCCAAAAGCCAGTGAATCAGACTCAGAATAAACGGCCATAAGTACTGAGAACTGGAGAGACTGCTTTTGCTCAAGGTCAAAGTACAAGTCAAAAGCAGTTGGGAGAGTGGACCCCGAAGCCCTGACTCTTCTCTGTGGGCGAAATCAGTTCGCCTTCAAAACAGCAGGAGCAGACACGGTGTTTAAAAGGGTTCTTCTGAGTCACAGTCCCCGAGAGAAAGGGAAACTGTGTGGGAGCTGGCAAGGCCCTGGAATGGGCCCAGTCTCACCCCTGTGGGCACCAGGGACGAGGGGACGGAGGCAGGCCGTCACTGGGGGCAGGCGGGGTGGGGCACAGGGTCTGGTGCACCCTTACTTCCCCTCCCCCCCAACCCGGAGCTTGAGAGAAGTTCTCAAGAGACAACAGGCCTGCAGCCCCGGGGCTCTGCTTGTCCTCCTGGGGGCTGGGGGTCGTGTCCTGCATTACCCACAGCTGGCAGAGATTCCCCCCTCCCCGGGCCGAGAGCATGCGCATTCCAAATTCACATTACCTGGCGGGGCCACTCGGTCCTGATAGGTGGGCTTGAACTCACTGATGGTAAGCAGCATCACCTGGATGGTTCCGATGAAGATGCCGGCCAGGCAGCCGTAGAATATCACGTAGAACAGGAGGATCTTAACTGCAGGGAGAGCAGACGCAACACGAGGCTGTGAGCCGTCGCAGGCCGGGCATGCCGGTCCCGCACCCTCCGCGTCAAGGTGGCGCAGGGCCGGGGGGCACGTGCGGCTAGAACTAAGATCCTTTGTAGGAAAGAGTTTTATTCCCTGCGTTCAAAAAGAAGTTCCTGGAGGTCGCCAGGGAAATCGAGGGCTGCGTCTGCGCACACGTGCAGTGCGTTGCCCACAGCAGCAGGCCCCACAGAGACACACCAGCCTTACAGCCCAGCCTCTCTGCCGCCTCTCCAGACACACAGACGCTGGGACGAGCCAGGCATGCCCGGCGCCAGGGAGGCTCTCCCGCTGGGCACCGTCTCCCCCTCTCTGGTGCTCTTCATAAAGCACCCAGTCTTTCCCATCCAGGTGCACCCAACCAGGTGCGGAACTGCTCCCGTGAAAATGGCCGGCACGTGTTTACTGTGTCTCCTGAACGACGGCTGCCATGATGATGGACTGCAGAGTCTGTCTCCCGGGAGGGCAGAGGCTGAGCTCGCTGAGAGAGCAACACACCCAAACACCCAGGGCCCCGGGGCCAACCACGCTGTCCCTTCCTGGTCTGCAAGTATTATCTCCTGCTCAGCTGCACAGTACCAGGCTGTGCCAGGCAGGGCCTGCAGGCCAGACAGACATGTCGACAGGAATGCAAAGGGGCAAGCAGTGAGCGCTGAGGGTAGCAAGTCCCCACACGCCTGCACAGAGAAGCCTTTGGTACCATCTAGAACGTCAGACCCCAGGCGTTAGTTGCTGGGGTCCTTGGGGGGAAAGCTACAGAACAAAAGCGTCATTGACAAGAAGTGAAAAAGGGCGGTGGGAGGGGCGGGGGAGGGAGTGGGTACAAGTGCGGGGCATCAGCCCAACTTTCCCATTAGCAAAGAATCACGCTAGAGGGCTGTTTAAAAAAGCGAAACATACATAAAACCGCACCAAAGAGGTTGGTCAAAATCCTTCCCAAAGAAGGGGAAAGGCAAAGAAAGAAGAAAAAAAAAAACCCGCCAAGCCCACATGTCCCAGAACACCAGCTGCCCAGCCCAGCCGCCGCCTCCCAGCAGGGCAAGGGTTAAGTGCTTGCTGCCTCTGGTATCCAGGCAGCGGCAGGCAAATGGCAAGGCTGTGACGTCAAGAGATCTGGAAAATTTTTCCAGCCACTGCTCCTAAGAGGTGCAGGGGCTGGTGCAGCACAGTCAGAGAGCGTGGCTGTAACCTTTTTTTTTTTTCCTGATGCCCCCACCCAACTGACACTCTCCGCTTTACCACACTTGGCGCCTCCGACCGCGTCCAGGACATTTCTGTACTCATCCCGGCCAGACCCCAGACGCCTAAGGCTAACAGCACGGGAAGGTCCCTAACCTAACGGAGGCCACCGTGGAAAACACACACATAGCCCTGGAAAAACAAGTTGCTTGCCAAGAACACTGGTTACATATAGGCAGATGTGGCCTTGCTGGTCTGCCTAGTGCTGGGCCCGAAGAGAAGTGGGTTTTCCTCTTTTGCTCTGAAAAATGGGCCCAGGTACTGAGGCGAGGCCACCAGGGGCTGCTCCAAGGGAAAAGCTGGACAAATGGTACCAGCCAGCCAGGGGGGCTCAGAGGGCAAGCGTTAGAGGCACTTTCCCTTTAAAAAAAATACAATATAGAGGTTTTCTAATTAGTGCAGGTGGTGGCAGGGGCGGGGGGGGGGCGGGCAGAGGACCCTCCAAAGGGCCACAGGCAGAAGGAAAAGCAGGCCCCTGGGCCCAGCGGTAAACATGAAACCCACCAACACCTGTTACCACAATAGAGTGGTGGGCAGCACAGGTGGCCTGTGTTAACTCAAAAAGGTGGGCGGCACAGGTGATCCGTGTGCTATGATTTCTCCAGCAGGTGACAGGCCAGGCTCCCGCATCCATCTTGGTGAAAATCAACCAACAGGCAGAAACAAGCCAAGGGCAACCTGCCTGGGCCCAAGGGCACGGAGCTGGGCCCGGTGCTAGGAAGGTGGCACCTTCCCCATCGGAGGCACGACAACCGCCACCTCCTCCGCCTGCCAGAGGCTCTGTCCTTTCTTATGCTGCCAGGAAAGGGCAGACCTATCAGCACCAAACCGAACCTGGACTGTTAGCCCAGGAGCCACCCTGGGAAAATGGAAGGAGAGGTGAGGCGGGCGCACCAGAGTGTGGTCTGCAGCCACAGAGCATGTTGCCGGCTGGGGGCCCAAGACACAGATACTAACACATTCTTCCCCCCCATGTGGAGGTGCCACCCCATTAAATGTCGGCTTAAAGAACAAACAGTTCCACACAGCCTTACCCTCTAATGCAAACATTGTTCTGGAACCAGAATAAGGAAAGAAATATATTTTATGAGGGGGGTAAGCACTAGAGGGCACATTTCACAACACGCCTGGAGTCAGTGTGGCCTCAGCCCACACAGAGGCGGGTCAGACCACCTGGGCAGGGAGGGCTGATGGGCTAGGGACAGGGGTGCATTCCGCAGTGCCCCCCCCCCACTCCAGGCCTCCCCAGAGTCTGCAGCAGCTGCGAGAAGACCGCCCTGGCCAGGAGCTGTTTCCCCCACCCACACCAGGACTTCCCAGTTTTCCCCTCCACGCTGAGAAAATGCTGGGAGCTGTTCTCGTGCGAGGGCAACGACCCCACTGGAGAACAGCGTCCTCCACGTAAAATAAAGCGTGGAACACCAGCTCGGAGCCATCCCTGTGTTGACCAACACATAACATGGCTTGGGGACACCCACGCTACCTTGGAATGAGGTTTCACCTTGACTAACCTTGAAGGTGATGCATTATTAACCCTTCCTTCTGCAATCAAGAGGGGCCCACACTGGAGGCAGCATTCCCCCCCCCTTACAAAAATCATATATTCCAGCTCCTTCCATTTCAAAATGTCAGCCAAGCACTATTTCCCTGACTCATTCTGCTGATGCCCACAGATTCCCCCAATCAGCAGCCTGCCTCTGCCCCTCTCCAGGGCTCCCTCAGTGGCCGCAGCGGTGGTGCAGGTGGTGTCCCTGATGATGGTGATGAAGATATCTGGGGGGGGACAGTGATGCAGGAAGGGGGAGTTCCCTCCCTCTGGGCTGCGGGCACCAGTCACAACTCAGATTTGCCTACGACTCTGCCCTTCAAAATGACCTTAAAAAAAAAGTCAGCCTTCAGGTGTAGGGAGCAGAAAACAAGGTATCCAATTTTCAATAGGGGTGGGGGGTGGAGGGGGGAACATATCCAGCCGAGCAACAGGCTGCCCCAAATCTTATGATGCCCATCTTTTGCCTTTGTGCCACCTCTTTCTCAGACGAACCCTTCACCATAACCAACACAAGCTACTGATTCTGCATCTGTCGGCGGAGACATGGAAATCCACCAGGCTTTGCCAGGTTCCCGGGCCACGGCTGGGAAACGCAGCCCTGCCGTGGGGCTTCACGGGCCATGTCAGGGCTTTGAAGACTCCAGGGGAAGTCACAGGGGTCTCTGAGTACCGCTCGGGCAGACATACTGCAGTCTGGATGGACACCCCCCCCCCCGCCCCCGCTGCCCCGCGCCCAGGAGGTACATATTTAGACTAGAAAGGGCTTACAGCACGCAACCTCGCCTGCATTAGACGTGATTACCCCCACGAAGTTCTCTCATCCTCAAATCTCGTTTTGTTTTTTGCCTTTTTTCTTTCTTTCTTTTTTTTTTTTTAAGGACTTGGGGCATGACCTTCGGGAGAGGCACATCTACTTTCCCAGTGGCTACCCATTCTCAGCAGGGAAAGGCTCAAGCGATGCTGGGGCAGACTGCAAATTACCAAGACAAGACCGCTGCAATACAGAACCCTGTGCCCGGCGCGTTCGGCCCCCACCCTGCGCGCGTCCCGGGGACTCTGCATTCCGCACAGGAAGATAAACCCGGGGAACGCGACACCGGCCAGCCTCGCCAGCGCGTCGGTGCGGAGCGGTCCGCAGACCCAGTGCAGGGGATGCGCCGCCCGGGAGAGGCAAGGCGCTGGGGAGAGCGCTGCGGACCCCGTACTTACACCAACTGCCACCGGTCCTGCCCAAAAACTCCTTCTTCTCTGAGTTCCAGATGAATTTCTTCCAGCTGCCCTCCTCCTTGGCTTTTCCGCGAGCCATGGTGGTGGGTCAGCAGCTGCCGCGGGGGCTGCGGATGGTGTGACTGCGGCGTGCGCGCTGGGTCCTCTCCGGCTCCCGGCCCGGCTCTGCGCAGGCTGCACCCGCCGCTGCCGCTGCGGCGCTCCGAGTGCCGGACGCGCGGCGGAGCGGGAGCAGCAGGGGGAGGAGGGGGAGGCGGCGGGGGCGGAGAGAGGAACCGCGCGGGCTGGGCGGCTCCGAGCCCCGCACCTATTGGTGGGCACGCGGCCGCTCGCGGGCTCCCTTTGGTCTGCCACGCGCTCCTCTCGCCCTTGGCGTTCCGGGGCTCCGCAAACCCGCAGCTGCCACTCCCGCTGCCACTGGGGACGCGCGCGCGGCCCCCGCCTCCTGTGACCTCTGCAAAGACAGAGGCCGGGGCTGAAGAAAGTCAAAGGGAAGGACGGACGAACGGACTACGGGCCTACACTCGTGCGCCCACCACGCGCCGCGGAATTGGCGCACGGCGCACGCTCTACCTTTACTTTATACCGCGCCGCAGAGGCACGAGACCCCGCCCACTAGCGGCCCGGATGGCCAATCGCGGGCGTGAAGGGGCGGGGCCTCGGGCCCGAGGGGGGCGGGCACAGGCCCGCACAAAGGAGCCGCGGCGACGGGCTGGCGCGCGGGGGCGCGGAGAGAGGCGGCGGGGACGCGGGGAGCGCGCAGGTGGCGCCGCACAGCGAGCTCCTCGCTCTCCGCCTGGCGCCCACCAGCCCCTTCTGTTGTAGGGTGTCCTACTCCTGTGTCGCCCGGCGCCCCGTGTATGCCCTGGGACCCCGGCCGGGCTCTCTTGATAAGGCCCCGCCCCACACTGCGCGCCCGCTCTCCCCGCGCGCTCCCGGCCTTCCCCGGCCGCAGGTTCCCCCAGTCCTAGGCCGGGGCAGGGTGGGGGAAGGTCACTCCGGGACGCCCGCGAGTCGGGGACTCTGCCCGGCTCCGCCCCGCTCCTTCCCTCCCCCCTCCCCCGCCCCGCTCCTGCACCTGCCGGCCCCTGGGCGCTCCCCGCCGCTGCGGTGGAAGTTCCGGCCCGTCCCTCCTCTGACCGACCGGCTGTGCTCCGTGCGGGCGGCCTGAACCACCTCAAACAGGACACTTGCCAAACCCACCCAGGGCGCCGCCGGCCCCGGGGCTTGGGAGGCGGAGGAGACCGACCCACCCCGGCGAGTCTTCCCCGGGAAACCAGTCGCACTGCAAGGCGGTTCACGCTAGTCTAGACCCCGGGCAGCCACGTCTGCACGTGACCCGGCCACCGAGGGCTCTCCCTGGTACCCAGGCGGTGGCTGGTGTTCTCACTGATGTGCTTTTACGCCCCCTTGGGGGGGTACCGACCCCTTTGCTGGGCTGTGAATACCCTGGGACTAGAGGGATTGCGGAGAGGCAGCTCAAACGACAAGATGTCCCGGGGCAGTGCTGGGCATGCGCCCCGCTCCCATCCCTCTTCCCCTGTCGCTGGGAAGCCAAACTCCTTGGTTTCGTCTCCCTCGCTGCTCCGCGGAACCCCTGAGCGGCTTCACGCGCGCCTCTCAGGACAGTGACACAGCAGAAAAAGGCAGGACGCCTGCGCGGTCACTGCGGAGAAGCCCCATCCCGGTGGGGGGCAACACACCCACCCGGGAAGAGCAGGTTCCCCGGCCCCGCGTGCAGGGGTTACCCAATAAAGTGATGCTCGTCTGGGCCGCCTTTCTGTGTCCAAGGTCAACCCTGCAGATCTAAGGACAAGCCCGAACTGAATCGCGCGCCCTCTCTCCCACTAATCTTTCTCTACGCCCACCTGCAAGACTGGGGCACCCCTGAAAATACTGGAAATTTAGGAAAGCGCAGCCACCCAGCCCAAAAGGGGCTGCTGCTCGCAGGGCTCCCTCAAGGGCAACCTTCAGAGCGGCGTGTGTTGAGACAGGAAGCCACCTGCCTGTCCCCGACAGTGTTTATGTTGGCAAAGGCCCCCCCCCCATGCTGAAGAAACGCAGGAAGAGGCTGCACCTGCCCAGGGAGGCCGCTGCCCTCCCAGCAGAGGCTGCCTCAGGGAGGGGTTTCAGCAGGACAGGTCACTCACAAGGGCAAGTGTTTACTGGGCGCCAAGTACCTGTAAGAGGGAAGAAAGCTGGTAGGCGGGCGGGACCAGCAGAAAAAGATGAGCGGGCGGAACGGGTAGGGAGGGGTGGAGGGGGGTGTGGGCCGAACCTGCGCACACTCTCCTGTCCACCCCTCCATCCCCCACCCGCGATTTCTGTCTGTCTGTCTCCCTCTCTCTCTTCTCCAGTCCACGCCTGCTAAGACGAAGTATGTGGAGACAGGCTCGGAGAGACATTTTTAATTAGAGCCCCATTTTGTCTGTAAGAAAGAGTCCTGCTACCTTCGCTCTCTAGGGCTGTAGCCAACACCAGGGTGACCTGGTCTGGCTAGGGGGAGCTTTCTCTCTCGTCCTTGACCTACTCTGGGGGACACAGCTGCCCCTTCCCCCCATTGAATCTTACCTCCCCACCTCTGCTCACGCTCCCTCCCCTGCACGTGAACTGTTACAAGGCCTCCAGTTGCTGCCTTCCCAGGAGGCAGCCTCTCATTCTCAACCAGCCCCTGCCAGGCTTCCCAGGAACCTCCCCACTGGCCCCCCAAACCCCACACTGCCGCTAGTGAACATGATCACAGACTTGTGGGAAGCAGCGTTGGACTTCCCAGCCCTCTAGACCACCCTGAAACTGTATTACCCACCTCACTGCATCCCCACAAAGAGCCACCGGGAGCAAGAGGGGCCTGCATTCACACTCCCAGAGTCAGAACAAGCCAGCTGATGTGACCTTGGACAAGTCACTGGTTCTCTCTCCGGCCAGTTCGGTCCCCGAGTTGTAAAAGTGGAGGGCTAACCTGTTGGAGGGTCAAATGGGAGATTGGGGGGGGGGGAAGTGCCTGTGCATAGCAAGAGCTATTAAGTAGCTAGCTGAATTATAATGAGCTGTTTCCACTTGACCTTATCGGGCCTTGGGGCTGTCACTGCGACTTTGCCACCTCCCCCCACCCCTCCCTGGACTCGGGTTCCCTTAGAAGCTCACCCTGACTCATTCCCCAACCTCTCTGCCGCCTTCTCCCTGGCCTCGCAGCGTGGTCCCCGCTCCGTGACCTCCTCTAACTCTAGTAATGAATAACCCGAGCACACCGTGTTCCTCGGGGTGGGCCGGGCCAGGCTGCTGTGCGCAGGCTGCTCTAGCAGCGGGTTGAAAGCGGAAAGTGCAAGGTTCTCCGGAGGGAGGGGGGCCTCTGGCAGGTGGAGCTGTGTGGCTGGGGTGGGTGGGGGAGGTGCGGACCGCGGGAACCTGGAGAGCCGCCCACGGAGATCCAGCGTTTCTCTGCAGAAAGGAGGAGGCAGGAGTTTGGAGGCTCGGGGTGGAGGGAACAGTTTTTACACCTCTTTTCCTCTGCAGGAGAGGGAGGGGGGCTGGGTCTGTGGGGTGGAGGCTGGATCCCTGGATGGAGGGCGGCCGAGAGCGGCAGGTTAGGAACCTCTGTTGGGGGGGGGGCGGGGATGGATGGCAGGTCCTCACCCAGGAAGGGGACTGAGATGGAGCTGGAGCGTCACCGGCCTGCAGAAGAGGGGGATGACTTGGCAGGCTGCAGGAGGGAGATACGGATGTGAAGATCAGACCCTCCCACCGCCCCCCACCCCCAAGTAGCCGGCCTGCGGCTCTCTGAACCCCTCGGCCAAACACAAGGCATTCTGCAGCCTGCACCGCAAAGGCCTTGCAGGGCTGAGCCCGTTCAGGGTCGCGGCAGGCTCACACACAGAGGGGATCTAAGTGCCGAGCAGAGCGGGGGAGGGCTGCCTATGGCAGGGTGACTCATCTCGGCAGCAGGAAGTGTGCGCAGGGCTGGGGAGCAGGGCTCCACGGCAGGTCTGTTTGCCTGTGGCCAGTGAGCAGCCGCTCTGCAATAAAGGGCAAGGGCTGGCGGCGGGGGCCCGGTCACCTGGCGGGACGTGGGTGGAGGCCTGGGGATCAGCACCTCTCTGTGTCCACAGCAGACCCTGCTTGTGACGAGAAAGCATCATTCTCTGGAGACCAGGGGCCCTGAAGGGGGACAAGTACAAAGGCCCCTTCGCTAGCCTCGTTCAGGCGCTTTCCCGTCCCCTGGGTCTGGGAGAGAACGCAGCATGACAATTAAAGAGGGAGGCAGGGAGCTGCTTCGGAAGGACCCCTTGGTCAGGCGGACTATTCCTGCCCTCTGTGGAAGGGACAGGTTGCTTTCTGGTCTGTCACCTGGGTCACCAGGCCCTGACTGGCAGACTTCCAGAAGCTGCTTCCCCCTGACCTCTCTCCTACCCTGTAAGTCGGAAGAAAGCATCCACGGCGAGGTGACATGGGCTGGGGTTTCTCTCCTCATCCCCTGTCCTCAGCCAGTTTGTTACGAGGAGTGTGCCTGGTGGAGGTGACTGCAGTGGGCGGGGGGACGAGACACACGGAGGGGCACGGGCTGTCCCGGGGTTGGCCCTGTGATCCATGGGTGGTGGAAACGAAGCTGCAGAATCGTAAGACCGTCCCCGCAGCCAGCCTGCCTCTCCTCTGCACTTCCTCGGCGTGGGTAAGAGGGGCGGTTTGCTTGTCCCCTGGAAAAACGTCTGGTGCCAACCGGCATGTCCTCCAGCCAGGGGTGTCCAACCACGGCCTGCGGGCCACCTGTGGCTCAGGACAGCGGTGAATGTGGCCCAATACAAAATCGTAAGGGTGCTTAAAACATGATGAGACTTTTTGTGTGTGATTACGTGTTGCAATGTATTTAACAGGTGGCCCAAGACAACTCTTCTTCCAATGTAGCCCAGAGATGCTTCAAGGTTGGACACCCCTGCTAAGCTTTAAAAATAAAGTTTCTTTCTAGAACTTTCTGTCTGCGTAAATAGGTAACAAGCCCCCGGTGTGGGAGTCCCCTCCAAGAGGTCTCACTGGCCTTGGGGGCAGATGTAGATGAGATTATGGGGCATTTTCTGATCCTTTTCTTGCTGGACCACTTAAGTTTTCCAGAAGTTTGAGAAACACTGGTTTGCTGGTCGGTTTAACTCCCTCCAGCCCTTCACTGAGACCCCCCAGGTGGTAGGCAGTTGCTGTGGGTGAGTTCTCTGTGGGCAGTGCTGGCGGTAGTGACCACCGGCCGGGTCAAGGTCAGCCAGCCTCCAGTCGCCTGTCTCCAGTGGCTGTGCACCCCCCACCTTGCCGGGAAGCATCCCGCCGTGGGGAAACTGAGCCAGAAGCTAGCTCCTCTGCATCACGGCTCAGTCTTCCTCCTCTGCCGGGAAGAACGCGGTACAAGGCTCCTGCGGGCGGGCACTGGCTCTCCTGCTGCCCTAAGTTTCACCTTTCAGAGTAAAGCATTCCCACCGTCTATAGCCCTCCGGCAAGATGGCTTCCAACCCTCCCCAGCATGCTCCGCCCCTTTGCGCTGTGCTATCTCCCATTCGCTGATGCGGGAACCCCGGTTCCAAGGAAGGCAGAGTCCAGGGGAGCTCGTTTTTATGGGTGAGCTGGACACTCATTTCTACCCATCGCCACCCTCCCAACGCCAAGCTGCCGTGGCCTGCTGAGACCTCCTGAAGGCGGAAGCCTCATAAATGTTCCAGAGCCTGCCCCTCCCCTGAGGCCTAGCCCAGGGGCAATGGACGGATACACTTGGAGCATCAGCGAGGGATGCTGGTCCCTGGGACCTTGGACAAAGGGCTGCAAATAGCGGCCTGCAAGGGGCTGTGCTGAGGGTGCTGCTGGCCTGGGGTGGCTGTTCTGGGTCCGCCCCCTGACCTCCTCAGCTGTCCCCAAGACCCTGAGTGCCTAAAGGCAGGTCAGCTGGCCCAGGCTCCGAGGGGCCTGCACTCCTCACAGCCTGCCACTGAAGCCCCTTGCTAACTGGCCAAGGCTGACCCCACTTTTCATCTGGCTCCAGGCAGAAGAGTTGGGTGGGACCAGGCCTCCCCTCCACAGGTCGTTGGGTTGGGAACCCTTCACATCCACTGGACGAGGCTAGGCCAGGGAGGAGGGCCCCTGGCTACTGAGCTTTGGGCAGGCAATGCTCAGACGGTCAGGCACAACCACACCTGGGACGCAGAAGCCCGCCCACGCTGTGACCCCGGCCAGCTTCTCCTCTCACTGAGCTCCTTTACACCCCCGTGTCATTCTGGAAACACTGCGTTTTAATGTAGCTGCCCTGTAGGAGCCAACGTGAAGGGACGGAATGAAGAAAACACTGCTTTGCACTTATTTTACTTTGGGGAGGAGCTGGGAAGCAGAGAAATGCTCCCTCAATTTTTTTTTTTTTGCATAAACTGGATTGCAACTTAATTTATACTCATCTCGGTGCCCTAAAGAGAAGGTCGTGACGCTCTAAAGGAGAGAGTCCTACAGGCGAACTGGCTGTTGGCCTCACCCGTCTCTCTGCTGCCTCGCTTGCTGACGCCGTTTCCGCACGGATACCCCGCAACCACCGTGTTTCCTGCCCACGCTCTGCGCGGGGTCGCGCACCCCGCCAGCCTGCGGGAGGGCGTGTCCCCTTTGCTGAAGTTGAGGGGCCGCATCCCGAGTACACCTTGGCCTTCTGTCTGGTCCCGCGGCCTGCCCTCCCCCCCCACCCCCCACCCCCGCAGGGTCCTCCACTTCCTGGGTCTACAAGCCATCAGCGTGCCTCGCCTCACAGTGACGCACCAAGGTCAAAGCCCCCCTCCCCCCCGGGTCACTGCAGCCTGGCTCCCCCGCCGTCCCATTAGGGTCTGCACTGTGGATGACGCCTACGTCGCCCAAACACCCCAAGCAGATGCTGTGCCCGGTGCCCACTAGTGGGTTTTTTCCGTTTTCTACTCTGTAGGACCTTTTTAACAACTTAATGAGAGGTCGGTCCTTGCACTGGTTCATTGTGCCTGTCGCCTGCACCCAGCTGAGTGGCGTGCAGATGGCTGGCGCAGTCTGTCTGCGGGGGTGCGTCTGGAAGAGATCAGCGTCTGAAACGGTACACTGAGTAAAGGGGGTGGCCCTTGGGGGTGGGGGGTCCGAACAGCACAGAGAGGCTCTGGGAGGGCGAGTGCTCTGTCTCGGCTCAGGCCCCGCCATCACCCTCCTGCCGTGGACACCGACACTCCTGGGCCTCGCAGCTCAGACTGACCTCATGCCCTCTGCGCCCCGATTCTCAGGACGTGGGACTTGCACTGAACCGCAGCGCGGGCTTTTCTGCCTCCCCGGCCTCTGATTAAGGTGGGTAGAGAGCGGGCAGGTAGATAACAGACCAGATAGACGGGTACAGGTCTCCCGTTGGTCCTGTCTCTCTGAAGGACTCTGACCAGCACCACCCTCTTGGTGGTGTTGTCACTTTGCCAGCCAAGCCGCCGAGTCGCCCCCAGATTCAGTCCCTGTGGGGAGAAGGAGGAAGGACGCACGCCCACCACCAGGCCCCAGCGCCTCTGCAGGCGGAACACGTGCCCGCCCAGAGGCCGCACGTGGCCCCGGGCGCCGCGCATGCGCGATCCTGCCAAGGCGCCTGTGCTCAGAGCTGTCCCGGAGAATGTCAGTCTTCGCCGGGTCGCAGTCTGAAGGAGCACATCTCGGTCCACGTGCTCACCCGTCACCGCTCATCCACCCCCTTCTGTGTGTGCAGTGTCACCTCAGAAACCGAGGGAGGGCCACGCGAGACCCAGGAGCCAGGGTCTGGACCTGGTGACGTCCCACAGTGGACACCACAGATGAGAGAAACAAAAGCTTGGAGAAGAGAGGTGCCCCTGTCCAGGGTGAGGGGGGCCTGGACAGGAGTTCGGTTTCTCGGGGAACCTAAAGGCAGTTTTTCCGATGAGGAGGAGGCAGCTCGGGGGGGGGAAATGCCCCCTCGTCCAAGTTCATGCCCGTCTGTGATCCCTCTGGGTTGGCCCAAGGAGCAGCCCCACACGAAGATGGAGAGTATTGTTGTCCATCTTGAGGGACCCCGAGGAGAGACTTCACGGTCATCGTCCACGACAGAGAAAAAGAAGGAAAACGCCACAGTGGTTTCATCTGGTAGAGCTGGCTGTGGCTAGGAAAAGCCCCAAATAACAATTCGGGGGCTTCCGCAGCCCGCGGTTGGCTCCCCTCCCCCTGTAGAAGTCCCGGGGAAGGTGGTCCAGGAGCGGGGGGAGGGCT